CCACATTAGTCTTGGCAGGAAGCTTGAATTGTGACCGTCTCAAGGAAGCGCCATTAATTACTGTTCCCATTGCACTATGAAAGATCAAATGCTGTGGATCAGTTTTAATTGGCTATTGATTTCTTATGTTATTACCTACGGTTGTGCTGAGATGCCGTCAGACGTACTGGATGCTTTTGATTATACTTGCTGGCAGCTGGGATTAAAAACAGCGGGCACACACTTCCTGATCTGTAATGGATTACCATGGTGTGCCAACAGAAATCGTTGGCAGGATGAATGGTCCTGCTTCGCCTGTCTCTTGTGCTATCGAGCTGCAGTGCAGTTATTGTTGTGAAGGCAAATACCCTCCGGGACTGGCTGCCAAGGAAAGCGAGGGAAAAGCTTCAAAGAACATGGGGATTTAGTGCCTACAAAAGTGAGAGGCTGTCAGCACCAAGGCAGGGTGAGTCAGAGTGCAAGGAGTGCTTGGGCATGGATGAAGCATCAGGGCCCCACCAGTGATCCCAGGAGAGGCTGACCAGGTTGCTTTTGCATCTACATGCCAATCATGGGGCTATCATATGTGTGAGCACAAGTGGGACTGTGCACACACACCGTGACAGTGACAGCCCTGCACGCACCAGCCTGCTAATGGCCTTCCTGAGCTGCATTTCCCCCTCGGAGCAGACCCGGTGATTTCTGAAGCTTAGTCTGTGACATGCTCTCATTAGCTGGCAGTTACTCCTTGTTTAACAGGAGATTGTTTCCCGTCCTTCTGACCCCAAATGACACTTTAATCTACAAACGCCGACTTTCCCTAATTGCACCTTGACAGAGAGAGAGAGAGACAACCCCCTCCTCCCCCCTCCAAGGACTGTCATTTAATTAACAGGCAGGTATCTCTCAGGATTTACAGCCCAGCTCTAAGCTGCCACTCTGTCTACTCAGTAACTCAGGCTCACTCCACTTATCTTTACATTTCAATACCTGCATTTCTGCTAATCCCTCTCTATGCCAGGTTCCTGGATTTACTTCTCAGGAACCCGTGGGGAAAGCAGTTCATCAAATGAACTGTCCCCATCTCACTCCCCATTCACCTCCTGGCTACCGATCTGAAGTGCCTATGTTGTAGGTGACTTCGTAGCACAGCAATACCTGTGCTGGCACCATTGCCAGTTTGTAGTTTAATACAGGTCTCATATCTGTCCTATAGACATGGCCAGAAGTAGCATACACGAGAGAGAGATCAGAATCAAAGACATCGGGGCTGGCTGGGTATCAAGAAGCATTTAGTCTGTTCCTCCTTCACAAACTGGGATCATCCCTCAGCAACCTGTTCTTGACATATGTTTTTTCTATCAGGTTCTTATAAAATTCCAGTGTCGGAGACTCCCACAAATCCTAAGCAAACCTTTCCAGTGCGTCCTGCCCTCCCGTTTGGTATCCGAGAGCCAGGGGAGAACAATGTTGAAAGACCATCGCACATGCCTTGCCCAGATGGCCATAACTTCTGGCACTTGGAGCCATACCGTCTGTCTTGCTGCTTGTGAGGAGCAGATTCATTGTATTTTGGTTGTGGTTTTGTTTCCGTGGTGGGTGAAGGGATAGCAAATGCTGTCTGTCTATTCCAGCTGTCTTTGCTGAGCATGCTAGGATCTGGCAAAAAGTCCAAAGCAAAGTAGTGCATTACTGCATGTGAGTGGCTGAGGGTCAAACCCACGGTCTCTGGATTTTGATGCATGGTTCAGTCGTCTCTGAGTTAACAGCTGTATTTTGAAAGCTCAGTTTGGAGCAGATCAGACTGTTTCGGAGCAAATGCAGCTCGAGTGAGGATAACAACAATCAAATGACCGGTGTGAATCCCAGTTTGCACATGCATCTGAGTGCATGTACCTCCAGTGACTGTAAGCTGTTCTCCTGGACACGTTGCACTGGCTACTCAATGGACTTGAGAAACCCAAGAGCAACCAAAGTGCGAACTGGCAGGAACTGCTGAGGAGCTCTGCTTTAGCACATCTGCCCTTTAATCAATACCTTGTCTCTCAGACCTCCAGTTCTCTGCCAGTGAAAGCAAAACTTGGGGTCCAAGTGGTGGAAAGAGCAATTGGAATTCACGCAATTAGTGTAGGTCCTGCAGTCTAACATCTGCAAGCTAAGGCTGCCCAGCCTGTTACCAAACAATGCACAAACAATGTGTGTGTTACATTAGCTGAAAAAAAAACACACATAAGAGTAACAGAACCGAGTGCATCTAATGTCCTGCTGTTTCCCCATCACTGAGCATTTCTTGGTTCCTAAATTCTTCCTATCCACCCACAGGCTGGAAAGCAAAAGGGGAAGAGGGCTGAGCTGTGGAGGAAGAGTCACTGAAATGCATAGACAGCACCCTGGTATTTCAAGAATCCTTGTCACTACAATTATCCGTGAGAGGTTTTATCCTGAACTTGCAGAAGTGGAGGAACAACAGGCTTCAGGCCATGCTGGCAGTCGGGAGCAGAACTCTGAATCTCCAGAGCCAGCTTTGCCCAGCAGTGATCAAAGACATTGCACAAGGCTGCAAGGTTTGGAAGAAGGATAAAAAGAGGGAAAAGAGCTGTTCTGCAGTGAGGAACTCACTGCGAGCCTTGTAGGGATCTGCCACTGCTGCATCTATCACAGTCAAGGAAAGCTGTAATGAATGAGGAATTAAACCCAGTCATGGACCATTTGGTCAGCTCTTTCTGCTGACGTGGCCTGGCCTCTCCACAGACAGACTGGCCTTTTGGCTAGCACTAGTGCAGCTCCCTGAAAGCAGCAGAGCTGGAGAGATGTCACTTAGAGGAGAGACCTGACGGTGTCGACAGCCAGGGAGTCACAGCTCTCAGCGGAGCCCTCATTTGTCACTTGCTTCAACCTGGGCAGAGAAAGAGGAGGAGGCAGGGAGGAGAGGGACCAGCAGATCTCAGCTAGCACTGAGGGCACAATGCAAGCAACTTTTACGCTGGAGAGTGGTTGGGACAGAGGGCTGGCTGCATGCACATATCAGCTTTTCTAGGGAAACGTATGAAGTGTGTACAAAGGCTCTCATGGCCCAAAACATCATCTCTCCTGGCTGACCATGGGTGGGCTGCCTGGCAGCACCGAGCTGCACACAACACAACTGGAGCCAGCTGTGGGTGGGCACTGCTCTGAGGTGCTGGGCAAGAGAAGCCACATACAGACACACTAAGTTACTTCATCTGCAGTGCTTTCCACTTGCTTTTGTGTTTGTGGGAAAAACAGTCATGTCTGGCCCACAACAGCTGCCAGCTGTGCAGGGCGGGCTGTAAGGCAAAGGGCTGGCCTCAGCCACAACTCTGAAATATTCCTGGGAATGGGACGGCCTCTTGCTCTTTGGCTGGAAAAATCAAAGCTCACAGCTTAGGCCAGTGTGCTTACTGGTGATATCACTGGAGATGCAAGGGGGCTCTTACCTCGCTATAGAAGGTGGACAGGGGAAACAGAGGCCAGGTCCTTAAAAAAAAGTAAAGAAAGAAGCAGCAGAAAAACTCAAACCTGAATCTGTCTGCCCAGTTCCCCTTCAGTTCATAGCTGGCATGGTTTATTCTCTGCCATGTGGGAGGATTTAGCGTCTATTGACAGATGAGCTAATCAGTTCCCCTCAGCTCTTGAAGCTTTATCAAAGCCAGCTAATCATGTTACTGATGTCCGCCCAGGCCAGAGCTCTCCAGTGCTGTCTTCTGCCAACAAGGCGACACACACACACAGAGGGATCGTTTTTTTCTAGTCCCAATCCCACCGATAAGAGGATGTCACCAGTGGCTGCTATGCCAGCATGTGGGTGCTACCTGCCTCTCTTTCACCCTCCTTGGCCACCCCTTGTTGCTGCAGAGCTGTGCTCGCTGCACCAGCACCTCATGGAGGGGCAGGCCAAGCTCAGCTCTCATCAGTGCAATGATGGCAACAGTGGGAAGCACCAGTCTGGGTTTCAGGTTTCTCTCCCTGACGCTTCATTTGTTTTACTTCTGTACTCCAGTTTTACCAACTGCTACTTGGATGGTCTGTCCTGCTCTTTCTGAGGGTTGACCTGGGGGCTGTGCTCCTTTCTTCAGGAGTGGCTCTACCTATACAAACACAAATCCACCAAGGCAAGAGTACTGTCTTGTCCCACTTTTTTTTTAATTATTATTTTTTATATTTTTTTTTATTTTTTGGTGGGGGAAGCTCCTTCTGTATATATACCAACAACGGAAGAAACCAGACGCAAGGAGCTCTCTGGAACCCTCTTATCCCCCTGGCAGGGTCACTTGAATCGCCATGATCTGGTGGCCTGTGCTTGGGTGGGTATTACTCAGTAGCATGTTTGGAGGTGGTTGGTGTTCGCTTGATTATTTCGGTAACCACTGCTCTTTCAGTGGCCTGGCTGGTGGGTTCCTCTGCCCTCAGGTATCACCAGCGATGTCCTCCCCAACCCTGCGTGCCTGCACTGGGCCTACAGCTCAAAGACCCTGCTAGGCCCAGGATGCTTGAGGGGGCAGAGGTCTTGCTCTCAACCCATCCAAAGAAGGGGCAGCTGCCCCTGCCGGGCCGAGAGACCAGACTGAGGAGCTGGGACTTGATGTGGAAAGAGCGAGGTGCTGGCTGCGAGGTGCAGGCCGGACCCACACACAGGGCAGTCCCTAAATTAGCTGTTCCAGAAGGGAAGGAGTTTCTTTCCCACTCTTAATCAATACTGCCCAGCCTCCCCCCCACTCCCTTGCCCAATGAAGATAAATTTGTTTCCCTCTTGGGGGTTGCTGCAGGTCCCTCTGCCAGCCCTGCCAAGGAGATACCCCAGGGCTGCACATATAAGCAGAGAGCACTGCAAAAAGAGGTATTAAAAAAAAAAAAAAGAAAAAAAAAGGAGTGGGGAAAGCAGGGGAGGTTCAATCCGGGAGCAGAGCTGTACCAGCTGGCTCTCCACACCATCTCCCACTCCTCTCTGCCATTGAGCGGGGGGGCTGGTGCCCTCGGCTGTGCTGTGAGATGCATTCACCCACCTATACAGACAATGTCCATGAAGCCGTACATTCCATAGCAGATCTGGAAGAGCAGGTCCTGGCGCTGCCACTTGGCTGAAGGACTGAAGGTCGACCAGATGAGCCACGAGATACTGGCGATGAGGAAGAGGGAACCCAGGATGGCCGCTGCTATCTGAACCTTCTCAATGACCGTCAGAGAGATGGCTTGCCACTGCAAGGGACAGCAACAGGGAGAGGAGAGGGCACAAGGGGGAGGGAGGAAGGAAAAAAAAAAAAAAGAGAAGAAAGTAGTTACATGATAGACACTGCTGTTTTTCTTAGTGGTGGTGGTTCTGGAGATCCCAAAGATCACCTGTGACTTATATGTGTATCCTACACATAGATGCTTTCACCTGGTCCACCTCTAGGGTGGAGTGTGGAAGTTGTTTGACAGTGCACGGCCCCATGTTTCTTGACACTGCTGCTGAAAAGCAAATAGGGAGGAATCCTGCATCTCACCAGGAAACCACAAAGACCAGTAGGAGTCAGGAAAGTCTGTGGGCAAGACCCTGAAAATGCCATCTCCAGAACAGTGGATCTGTGATGGCCATCACAAGCCAGGACATCCAGTTGCTATCCCAAATGGAAGCCAAACACCAGCTTTGGCTAGGGTAACCTGGTACCATGGGAAGTGCCTCAGATAGCCATGCTCTTCCATGCTTGGAGGCCTCCCAGGTAAGCCATGAGCTGGCTCCGTGCTACTTTGAAATGTGACAGGATGACAACACTAGGTAGGCTCTTGTGGAGGCAACACACACCCCACAAAACATGTTACAAACAACACAGGTTGCTGCCACCAAGGCTCCCTGTCTTTAGGTGATGACACATTCAGGCTGTTTTCCAAGGTAAACGACAATGCTTCTTCCTCAGAAGAAGAAAAAAAAAAAAAAGTAACTTCCCCAAATCCATTCACTATGTCAAACAGCTTTGTATAAGCTACAGTATAAATATCCTAAGCCCAGACTTTTCTGTGTCATCTAGAATAAAACCTCCTTACTCAGATTTACACTTCTGAGAGAACTGCCCAGTAAAAACCAAGAGCTGAAATTGCTTTCTCTGACAAGACTCGGGGACATCGTCCACAATGCCTCCTGCAAATCAGAAATCAAATGCGTAAACTGGCCGTGGAGAGATAGTGTCTCCTGGCATTAAAGTATATAGGCCACCTTTAGCAGTAAGATACATGCCCTTGAAATCTCAGTAGGACTGGTAGTAGGATAAATAAAAGTAGACTTCAACGTCATGCAGGTGGAGAGGATTCAGGGGAACTGAAAATGTTTAGCCTGGATTCAGGTCAAATTCAGTGGTCTTGTGAGGTGACAGCTCTGGAGAGTCCTGAGCACCCTGCCCATTTGCCAAACACATCCTGGGACACCAGGGTCACCAGTCAAGCCCCATCCCCTCATTTTGCAGGGCAAGAAAGCAGTTCAGTTGCTATGTTGCTCTTTAATGCCCAGGCCAGCCAGGAATCACCCATATTTTTGGGTAGTAGGGAGGACTTTGAACCCTGCTCGAAGGACAAGAAGGTGAGTTGTGCTGGGAAGGGCATGCATGGCATTGCCACCAGACCCTTGAACTGAATGCAGTCCCTGCAAAGGGCTGCTTTTGAAGAGGAACAAATCCGCAACGGTGCCATCAGCTCAGAGCTCCAGGACGAGAGGCATGAGGAGGCACTGGGTTGGGTAGGTGCGTGGGGCTGCACCCTCACTCTTGCAGCTCTCCCCAGACCTCCTGTCCCCTTCCACTCAGCAGATGCTGATGGGATGAGAGCGCAGGGAGCCTTTCCTAGTGCTGCCTGCCATGGTTTTGCTGCAGGTCCCTCATGCTGACCTGCGTGCGCCTGTGCCAGCCGAATCATTCTGCATCATTTCTCTCTCGAGAGGAGGTAATGGACTGGCTCCTCACCATCTGTCTGGCACACTGCAAGGCCTGTGGCAGCAACAGGTCCTTCCAAGGTAGCAATTAAAGAGAGAAGAAGAAGGAGGAGATATTTTCTACAGCTAGCAGCTGCGTACAGCTGGCACCGCTGTTTTGCAGAGACAGAGAGGCATCGATACGGTATTAAATATATTCTACTTTCAAACGGGATGTGAGTCAGGGCACAGAAAAGCTACACCTGAACACCAGCTTCAAACCTTCCTTTGGATGGGAACAGAGATGCTGGAACACAGGCAGGGCTGCTGCCCGGTGCTGGTCATGAAAGAGGCTCACCCCCAGCAGCTGGCACTGAGTGGCAGCGACACGCACAGCAGCAGTCCTGACTCTGTTCAGGAGGTGGCACTCTGCTCAGGAGGTGGTTACCCTCTGGCAAAGAGGTAAATGGGTCAGAGCTGAATGCTGGGAAAAATAACCAAAAAATACCCAAAAAATAGAGGGAAAGAAAAAAAAAAAAGAAAGAAAGAAAGAAAAAAAAAAAAAAAAAGAGAAAGAAAGAAAAAAATAAAAAAGAAAACAACCCCAAGCCCCAAAATAATAAATGTTGTCTTTCCTCTCTGGAAATTCTGAGAACTGCAATTGAGTGTCACACATCTAGCCCAAGCTACCAATAACTGGGGTCATTATTTTTCATCTTTTATTTCCATGTTGTTACACATTCCATGGTAAGAGGTTTGTACAGAGAGAAAGAACGGAGCGAGCCAGAGTCCAAGAGCGGCTCAGAGGTGGAACATGATGAATTTTAGCTGCAGGAGCTAGGCTTGATGCATGCCTGCACCAGCAGCCTTAGGAGCCCATCTCTATCACAGCACGGGGCCTTTCAGGTTGCACAGCAGCCTGCAGAAGTCACCCGTTCTCCTAACCCCACTCCACAATTAGTACAGCCAGCAGACAGGGATTTAGTGGGACGCTGCTAGAGCTGCCAAGACAGGGCTCAGTAACACTGCAGAGTCCCTTTAGCAGCATGCCTGAAACCCTCAAGGCTGTTAATTCAGATGCCTGGCTGCAGACGCAATCCCCTCCCTCCAATATCTCCGGCTCAAAAGTTCAAGCCCTCGCGATGTCACGGTGTCCAGCAATCCCACCCTGCAGGGGAGAGACCTAAAACGAGCGCTGCCTTTCTCAGCTGATAACGAGTTGAGCCCAGTTGGCTGCTGGGCTCTGCTGAGCACACCTTTACCTGCTGGCAGCTCACCCACGTTGTCAACCAAGACCGTGATTTTAGGCAGGTGGAAAGCCCTACAAGTGGTCAGATTGCAAACCTCTGGGTCCCACACACCTCTGAAAAGGTCTCTTAGGATCCCAGGCCTGTGACAAACTTAGAGGCCAGGATAGGACTGGTGCCTGGCTGTCATGTCACACTTGATCTCTTGCATTGTTTCATACTTGACGGCTTGTACTTGGGACAAGCCCGCTCCTCTGTTTGCTTCAGTGCTTCTGCTCAGAGCCTTGTGACCAAAAATCCTCACTGCTGCTAATGTAACACCAATTAACAATGTCATTAATGTAGTACTTAGGGCCTCATCCATATTTCCCTTTCTCTGGCACCAGCAGCCTCCGAAGCACCAGCGTGAGCAGATCCAAGGCACATATTTGCCTGCAGAAGATATCTACGTCTTACTGCAGCAGCTTGCTTAGAAGCCTTGCTTGCTAGAAAAGCCTTCCTACACTCCTCTGAGAGCTCCTCCATGCCTGCCTCAGGCAGTTCGGTTTATTTTTATTGCTGTATCTGACACGTCCCCTTAGTACGTATCATTAACATCCTGAGCTCTGCTAGGCAGCGATTTCACTTCAGACCCAGGATCACAAGCGAGCAGAGGTTTTCCTAGAAGGATGGAGGGGCCCATTCCCATCACGGCTTAGGTCTGGCTCTCTCTTCAATGGTGTCCCGAGGCCCTGGCTAACCTCCTCAATTATCTTTAGGAGGATGGCTTTACTTTTTGTGATTTCACCAAGCAAATTTATCCTAAAAGCCGTGGTAGCTTCCTTGCTGTACATTTATAGGTGCTTTGGCTTATTCAGGCGCAAGAAAGAGAGCAGGGAGGAAGGAGGGCCCATTACCAAAGCACCAGGGCTGTGATGAAATTCCTTCTTCTCTGTGTGCCAGAGCACCTGGTAAGATTCAGGCTACAGCGCTGACATCCTAGAAAGCTCCTGTTATGAGCCACAGCCCACGGTGTCTCTTGCAGGCTGCAGCTGGAGGGAAGAGCTCAGCAGGCACCAGCCAGGGCTCATACTCATGACAAGTGACCCAGCAAGCTGGGACAATCAGGAGACCCCAGTGAACTCATCTCAAGCTTTTTTAGCTCAGGTGTTCAGGCTGAAGTTCAAACACTTTGGAAGCTCGGCCACATTTCTTGCAGATGTGGGGGTCCTGATGAAGAGGCCACATAAATGAACACTCATCAGCTCTTAGCAGAGCATCTCCAAAGTCAAAATAGAGCCAGAGGAGAACTGGGATGGGATCTCAGGGATTGGGAGACAGGGGGGATGGATAGACGGACAGACAGATGGACAGATGAAGGCTCTGGACCTTCTGATCGCCCACAGCCTGCGGGAGGTGTTTGCTCACTTGCTGGCTGACCACAGCTTGGCAAGACACTTGCCAGATTCTCCAACAACTTTAATCCTCCAGTCTCAGCAGGTTTGCAGTGTTGCTGCTTTAAGACTTTTGCTCTTAAATCCCAGCAATCCAGGGCTGGCGGGTTAATTTATAGAGATTTGTTCTGTCGAAATACCGGGCTGGAGGCCCCTCTCTGGTATGAGACAGCATAACAGCCTGGAGGCTGGAAGGAATCCGTGTTAATTATGTATGAACCGTGCTCCCCTCGCTGTAGCTTCTCTGCCCATGCCGTGCACATCTGGCCCATGCCGTGCTCCTAGGCTCTCCAGAAAATGTGCAGCACATGTCAAAATGAGCAGAGAATGATGTACATCCATGCACATCCCGGGAAACACGGGGGTGTTGGGTGTGCTGCTCTGCAACGCTGGAGGGTGGCGAGAACCACCGAGGAGCACGGCGATGTGCAGGGTGATGTGTTACGGGGTCCCAAGCCCCTTTGTCCTCTTGGGAAATCTGGGTCTCGTCCATGAACCAGTTCCCACAGGATTTCACGTGCTGGTGCTGGTGTAGCACCTGCTTTGCAGCAGTGCCTTCGTGCTGACACCAGACAGGGTGACTGGGCACACAGCTGCGGCTCCACACAGGCTGTATTTATCCCAGAGCGAGTGGCTTTTCACTCCAGTTGCTTCTTCCTCCCCTTGCATTGAGCATCCGGAGGTCAAAGGCAGTGCTGGCCACACACATGCTCACAAATCTGTGGCCACAAGCACTGCTCAGCATCGCTCCCCCAGCCCGAGGTGCATGAAGCATGAGGGCACTCACGGACCAGATTTCCAGAAATAAACAAAAGCTGCTGTGTCCACATCTCCCACCCTGTGTTTCAATCTGGCCTGAGTTACTGGAGCCAAGAAACTAAAGCACCCTGGGTCTGGGGCTTGGGATGAAACTACTGATCTCTCCAGGCCACAGCACAGGGAAAATCAAATCAGAAGCTGCAGGGACTTGAAGAGAGCAGGGAGGCTTTTCCTTCCCCCCCAGCAAAATTGCCCCATGACGTCCCACTAATTTTGCTGCTTCATTTCAGTATGGAGCCCTGGAGGGCTGTGCCTCTTTCTTCACTGTGTTCAGTGACCTCAGGCCCGGAGAACGACACACAGAGAGGGCAGTTTGGAGGAGAGAGCAGGGATTTGTGTGTCCCCCACCCCATACAGCTGGGCACCATCACTGGCAAAGGCTGTTGGAGAAAGAGAAGACCAGAGAGCCAGTGCAGCCAGGTGCTGGATGGACAGACATCCCTACAGACACTGCCCTGGTGTCTAAAGCACAGCGTGCTGCTGCAATGTCTCTCCAGCCCCGATGATGCTAATTAAATGGTAGTGCCTGAGTCTAATGTGCTTCCTTACGTCTGAGGCACTAATGGTGCTCAGCAAAGGCGTGCAGCAATTAGTCCATCTTCAGGTGTTGCTCCAGCAATAAATCAATAGCTATTAAGGATAAATTATCCCATTTTTAACAGTCACACAGTTTTTCCCCCGTTCTGTATCTTGGTTTTGAATTACCAGCCTGCAGTGGGATTTAATAAGCTGCGGTGCTTTTGAACTCACACGAGAAAGAAGGCGGGTCCTCGGCTGCCTTTCACAGACACGTACATCAAGATGGGCTTTACCTGCTGAGTGCACACCTGTGTGTATCCACTGAGAGCCCTCCCTTCACCCCCTCCGTCCCTCGCACCAACACTCTTTCAAATTCATGTCCGCATCTGTGCTGGGAGATGGTGGCATACCCGTGGTCTCCAAAAAAATAAACGCATTTGAAGGGCTGTGAGGTGTTACAGCACTACCACAGTCACACTGGTGTTTTAAGCAGGAAGAAAATGGATGTGGGAGTTGTCAAAGGTCAGAGAGAGCAGACCCTTGAGGGATGCCCCCAGTACCACCAGGCAGGACGTGGGGCTTCATTGGAGCAGCCCCCACAGCCCTTCCTACACAGCTCAGACGCGTGGATCGCAGTGCCAGGAGACAAAACCCAAAACCTAGTTGCTCCCAGAAACAAAAAGAGGAACAAGAATAAATAGACTTTGAAATGTCTCTAGTACCTTTACCTGCAGAGGGTTCTTTGTGCTTATGGCAATGACGTGATACTTGTAGTAACACAGCTCGCAGCTCCAGCAGCCCCTCTCACTAATCCATTTGATCAGACATGGCTGGTGCGTGCATTTCACCGATCCGTCGCATCGACACGGGCTCAGCAACTCCCCCTGCAAAAGAGAGACGGCGTCAGCGGGGCTCCCTCCTCCCACACGGCAAGGAGGCCGTGCACACAAGCTGGCCAAGGCGCTCCTTCAGCCACCCATTCACTCTTGGTCCCGCTTCCCCTGGTTTGGCTTGGGTGATAGGGCTGCTTTCGTCAGTTTTTACCTCCAGTAATTCTCGGGTGATGCGAACACAGTTTGACAGAGATGTAGAGGTCTGAGCTACTCATGCTTTACAGTTTCTGTGAAAAGAAAAACCCGGGTAGGTGAGAGACTCCTAATATCACTGCTAGCGGAAAAGCTCCGCGAGCGCAGCTCTTCCTAGACACCAGAGCATCCACACCAGACCTCAACAACTGGATGCGGCTCGGCTGGAAACTGGGTGCCACTGCTCAGGCCTCCTCTGGCTCTTTGCTGCCAGAGCAAGGCTGCTGGTTTATGAGCAGTGACCAAAGCCCTGCCCTCCTGCCTCGCTCCCTTGCTCCTGGTATAGCTCAAGCAGGGGTACCCAGCAAACCCCGATATTATTCTGACCCAGGTGCTGTCATCCTGTTCACCGCAGGACTGCATTCCCCTCTGCACACACAAGCTCAGAGCTCATTTCACAGTCATTTGCTGTTGCTTATTTAGGGAAGAACCTAAATAAGAGTTTTACCCCCCGCCTCTCCGCGTTTAGAAGCCACAGCAGAGCCCCCAGTTGGGCGTTTAGCCGGGCCCCGAGGTTTCAAAGCTTTTAAAGGCAGGATGAGAATGTCAATAGGATGGGGAAGGCTGGCATCACACTTCTGGTGTCAGAGAGAGGATTCCTCTTCTTACACACCTTGATCAGCCCCGTAGTCCTCCCCAGTGCGACCACCTGAGGCTGCTGGATGCAGCAATGATGCCCACCCCCCAGCTGCCTGAGGTTAGGAGGCCAAATCCTGCTCCTGCCGAACCCGGTGGGAAGCTGCCTTCGCTTTCAGGGTCTGAGGGCCCGAGGAAGCGAGAGTCACGCTGGGCAAGAGTGATGCCTTTTTTTATGAAACCTAATGCAAACGCATTAATCATTTCATTTGCTTCAGCGAGGTGACCTAAAAATGTCATCTTCCGTGAAATTTCAGCACAACTGTAAATAACTGTTTACATTACAAAACCGGGCTCGGCTCTACCTGCCACTGATTTCCATCACACACCAGAGGGGACTAAAATAGGGGGAGGCGAGGAAGGCTTTAGGATCCGTGAACTTTTATTCAGGACACCACACCACACACCGGGGTCTCCTGTGGGGCTCCACGGAGCGAGTGAATGACCCCGGTGTTGTCTAACGAGCTGTGGGGGTGCACAGGGGAGACTTGCTGTGTCTTATTGGTCTCTGGAGTAAATGAGACAAAGAAATCTGACTTCTTCGGAGCCAACAGATGCCCATAAACATCCCACACCGCCGTGGGGACCTTGTCCCCCTCCCCTAACTGGGATGCTGCATCCCAGACAGCCCAGCCGCCTCCCGCAAGGGCTCAGGGCTGACCGTGGAGATGAACCCCCCAATTTCTTCATTTTTGCCAATCCAGCAAAAACCTGATTTATCGCATTTTCTCCAGCCGTGTGAAGTATGATATCCTTGTGTGTGGCACACGGCTATCTTTGCATACTGTGAAGCCCACTTCTGCCCACAGCAGGCGTTCGTAAAGCACTGCCGCATGCACACGCGGGCACGGGCACTCGTGTACCAGCAGAAAAATAAACACCGGGGGCATATTAAAGGAATAAATCCTTTGTACAGCAGAGGGGAAGGAGCCTTGTCGCCGGCTGCACAGCCAGCTTAGGAACAGCCCATTGGCTGTGACAGCCACGGAGGAATCGCTGCGCAGGGACCTCTGCGAAGAAGGCACAAAAGCAAGCCCAGAGCGAGGCACAGCTCGCAGCCCCGAGAGCTGGGAATTAAACCCCACGTCTGTTCCTGCAGGTTTACAGCAGACAGCTCTGCACAGCGCTCCCTCCGGTGCTTCAGACAATGGCATTCCCACCAATCCCATTTGGAGACTGTTCTCCAAAGACCCTTTGAAGGGAGAAAATCGTTCCCAACATTTTTTTTTTTTTAATTTTTTTGGCAGTTTTCCTTTTGTAGAGTCCCATCCCTTCGCTCGGATCAGCCGAAGCAGCATGTTGGCTTCATCAGCAGCCGGAGGAGAAATGCTCCCTGGCTCATCCATCCTCAGCTTGCTCAGTACCATCTTGTCCCCCCGGAACAACCAAGCAGGCTTTGAATTCACCTGCCTTGCTGTTTGTCATCCAGGATGGGAGCTTGCCTTCAGGAGCAGCAAGGCGAGGAGAGGCTGGCCTGGCTTCACCCCGGGGAGGAGGTGAAGCTGGAGATGAACCGGGGCTGTCCCAGCTCTGCCCTCTCCCTCCAAAACCCCGCTCTGAGCCCGTTGCGGCACAGCAGAGTGGTTAAGGATTGCCTGGGCCCTGCTGTTCTCCGCCTGTTGGGAGGAATTCAGAGAAAGGATGGGAAAAACATTGCTGCCAGCGCGCGCTTCTGACGCTCGATATATCCAGGGAGAAAATACTGACGTCAGGATCAGCGTCAGCCCTCCTGCATGCTGATGGCAGTGTGGTGCCCTGGCCATTTTTTTTGTCATTTACCAGTGCTGGGAACCCATCCGCAGGCTGCTGCTGAAGCTGTGGCTGCTCGCCCGCCAGCTGGTGGTCGTGGGGCCCGTGGTGGCATTGGGCAAGGACGTGGCCATGCTGACCTACATCAGAGTCAACCATGTGCCAGCTCGGCTGGGAAGAGCCCTGTTCACACCCTCTTCTTTCCCCAGCTACTAGAGCCAGCAGTTTGAAAACCAGTGCGAGCTGCACTGCTAACTGGGACGGCTGGTGGTGGTCCTAACACCTGCAGCGTTTCCTCAGCTGAGCCTTTTCCCTGCTCAGCTCCGAAAAGTGGCATCAGGTGTTAGCATCGCCTGCAGGATGAGTGCCCCAGGGAGGAGCAGGGCAGGGGGAAGCAGGGCTGGCACCTCGTGGACCTGACTGCTAGGGTTCCTCGGAGTTTGTCTCATTTGGAAAAGGAAACCAAGAATATTTAATTTCAGGTCTTCAGCTGAGTCTCCTAAATACACTTAACTTCACATTGAATTTAAATGCAATGGGAAGTTTTATTATGGCAAATAAATGCCAAATGATTTCTATATTAGGAACATAATTACAGAGGAATTAAGTCTGATGGCAAAGAGAAACCCATTGTTACAGAGCTGGTAAACTCCAATAAATATGTGCTAATAATCGCTCTGTCTTCACACTCGCTTACAGGAGCTGCCCCTCCATCCTTTTAAACCTAAACACGCGCATTGCTACCAGCATCTCAAATGCTTCCCGTGTGTCCCCTCCCGTGTGCGAGCGCTGTGCCAGCCAGCCACAGACAACAGGGGACACTTAATAACTACCTCCGAAAACCTGAAGCCACATGTTTCCATTGTGCTTTCTCTCTCAGCTATTAAAGGATATAAATATGTGTGTGCTGAATGAAATTCTCTGGTATTGTCAGAGATTGATGCTAAGTGTGGGCTCAGTGAGTGGACCCAATGTGTCCCAGCCGTGGACCCAAGTGTCTCCCACATTGCGGGGACATCACCAAGCACGGCCACATGGGTGGCATCTCTCCAGGACTCCTAAATGGCTCCCAGCCTTGTGGCCAGGTCTGTAAGCCATGGGAGCCTTGTTCTGAAGGATAACCATCACCCTCCAGCTTGGGGCTGGATGGGGGTGAAAGGTTTGGGGAGGCCAGAAGGGCACACAGAGCCTCAGAGGAAAGGTTTTCAGCCCGTGGCTGCCCACCCGAAGGTTTTGGTGTGGGATTTTGGCCTGGGAGTACTGATGCTGCCTGGAGCAGCACCCACACGGGGCTCTGTAAAAAAATAAAAGGAAACAAAGAAAGAAAAAGAGCTCGGTCGAGCTGTTTCAATATTTAGCTGACAGTAACTTGCCGATGCGTTTGCCTGCAGGCAGGCACAGTGCACCAGCTCTGGGCGCATCCCTGCCTCCGCTGGGAAAGGCCAGAGGGAGGTGGGGCCAGGTGTCTCATGGCTTAACATCAATTTCCTTGAAGGAGAAGCACTTTAAAGCAGCAGAAAACACACATTTTTTCCAAGCAGCAGAGAATCACAGGGCGTTTTTCATTCAATGGGCTCTGGAGGATTTTGACACCCTGGTTTCGGGCTGGTGAAGGGCAGAGAGCGATGCAAACCCCACCCAGCTGTGAAAGGAGGGCGGTGGGGATGCAGGGGGCTGGCTCTGCTTAGGGACAGCTCCTGCTGATGGAGGGAGAGGGGAGGACAGTCCCTAAGGGTCCCTTTGGGCCACCCCCATTGCTGGGAATGGGGTCGAAGGTGGATTTCTGGGCAAGCCGCTGTCACCCCCAGGGCAGCCCTGTGCCCTACCGCCGACTGCATGCATCAGCACCAAAATCCCACCCGCGAGCAGCCCCACCACCCCGCTTCCCTGGCTCCAAGAGGCAGGCTCCAGGCTGTACAGGGTTATAAGATCTGTTCCACAAGAGCAAACTCAAACACTGCCTGAAATATGGAATAACAAAAGGCTTTTCAGGAATTACATCTGCTTATCCATTGCCCAAAGAGCAGAGAGCTTATAGATCACATTGGGAATTATTCGCTTTTCCTTCTAAAGAAGGATTTCCACAAGATAAATAACTTTGCTTAGGTGTTCTGAAGCCCACTTCATCCTAATGTCATTGAACTTGTTTTTGATTAGCTGATTTAAGTAATTCTTACTAAATGTTGCTCAGTTGCAAGGCATCAAAAGGCAAGCATCTCAAATATCACCTGCTGTGCCTCATCAGGTGTGATAATAGCACCGATTAAGTGAAGTGCCTTCGGTGCACAGAAATCACGGCGCTGCGCATGTGAAATCAAGCTACCTGAATACCCCTGAGCTCCTGGGTGTTGGAGCACGTTCAGCTGCCGACTGGCGCTGAATACAGAGCGGGAGCTGTCTCAGCACTGAGAAGAAGTGTCCGAGTCTATAGCTCCTGGGCTTTCACCCAGGTTTTAAACTTCTGGAGATTTTTTTTTTTTTTTTGTGGACCCCATCCATTTTGTGGGACAGAATGATCTAGTCTCTTCTGAAAGAGAAATTCACTGTTGTTTCACTCTGCTTCTTCTTAATTAAAAAATAAAGTCTTTTAGACAACACTTAGATTTATTCTGCATGAGATACAAGAGTGTACCTCCCAAGGATGCTGGGGTAAATCTGATGTGACTCCATGAAGCCAAATAGCTCTTCAGCACAAATCAAGTGCCCTTAAGTTATGGTTTGTACCAATTACAGAGATTTTCCATTAATTTTTTTTATACAAATGGCTTTTTATTTTTTTTTTTTATTTTTTTTCCTTCTAGTGAAAAAGCCTCAGGAAAATAGAATTCTACTAAGTATACCACTTCTTTTTCTTGGAAAAAAGATACCAATTATTCCTTATTATCTCTAATCCATTGAGACCTTCACCTTTCTACTTCTTCAATCCTCATCAGATCCATCAATGAGTATTTTAAAAGTTCAAAGTATAAAGTTAATGCTTTCAGCATGCAAGTACCATATAATGCAATTCTTCTCAGAGATGTGCTCATAATTCAGCAAATTGAACTTTGCAGCTACTTCCCTGGGAAGCTGTTCATAACGATACTCAGCTAATGGCCATCTCAGACAACGTTATGCCATCAGCCACTAAGCAGCAGCCGTGGAGTATCCACAGAAATAGATGCTGCTTGGATTCTTCGGATGATAGATCCTGCTTTCAAAGATAAAGAAATAAACAGCAATGGATTATTTATATATATAATATAATATATAATATATAATATATATTATAATATATTATAATTATAATAATTATAATAATTATTATAATATATATTATATTATATTATATATAATATTATATATATATATATGTATATATATATATATATATATATATATATTATTTTTTTCCCCTAAGAAAGCTGAAAAACCTTTTACCATAACAGCTGAGAGAATCCCAATTCTGCAATATTTGTCCTTGCTTGACATTGCAACATCAAGTGGCCCCCAGCCCGGACAAAGGGCAGGGGACCAATGGGTCTGCATGCATGTTAAATAAGAGGAACCCAGTAATGGTGTGAAGACAAAAGCACAGAGGATCTTCCCAGTGCTCCCAGCATATCCCAGCTGGGAGCTGGTCTGCGGTGCACCCAGGGGTGCCGGGGCCCAACATGCTCTGGTGTAGGGAGCTGCAATACCTAATAACAAGAGCAGTTTGGTTACTTTTAGCTTTGGTAGCACTGTGGGACTCAACTGTTTCATTAAAACAAGACCTGATCTGCTTTTCCTTTCTGCCTTCCAGAGCCAAGGAGAAGAATATGCAATTACAAAGTTCAGTCATGTAAAGCCCTTCAATTACTGGGTAACTCTGTTACAGCTTTTCCAAACGTTACGAGGTTCACGCGGCAGTACATGACATCTGAAGTAATTCGTTTTTCATCTGCCGATTAGCAGAAATTAAAACGGTTCTCAGAACATCCCAATTTGTGCGAGATCAAGTTCCTTATTACTACTGAGTATCTTAGTGGGGAAGGCATTTCTTTTTAAAGTCCCAGGCAGCCCTGCAAGCAGAGATACTCAACAAAAATACACCAGGAAAGTAGTGGAAGGGAGGATCCTGGCTCCTGGGGACTGTAGGTGAAGAGCCCAGCCTTCACATCTTGCCAGAAGGTCACTTAAATGTTTGGAGAAAAGTCAAAACACTTGCTGGCAAGAATATGCACCAGAGGCAGAGCTCTTTTGGAGATGCTGTAGCTACTGCACGAGGCTGAGCTGCCTTTCCTGGCAGTGGGCTAGAAACCAGCCAGCAGCACCGAGTGTTTCCCCAGCAGAGTTGGTCACACCTCCTGGTGGGGTCAGGGGAAGGAGCTGTAGGACAGCCTGGGAGATGTCTGTGGTGCCAGCAGCAAAAATTGACCATGGGAAAGGAGAGCGGGAGGCTCAACCCCCAAATCCCCTCGCCTCACATGACAACTTTCCAGCTGAGACCGAATGAAGGTGCCAGATGTGTTGTGCTGGGAGAAGCTGCGCTACATTAATTCTGGTTTTCTGGTGCTGCCCTGGCCAAAGACCTCCTGTATCCCAAGCTGTGTGAATCTACGTGTTTTAGACTTTGCCTGCATGTGCCTCCTGGTGGAAAGCCTTGTGTTTTCCTCCTCCACCTGGAGAATGCAGGCAGCCTTCCCTTTTGCAGACAATATAAAACAGAGAGGAGAAAAGGCAGAAACTAAAGTCAGAACAGCCGTAACTGCAGTGAAGTGGGTTGCAAAGGCCATTTTCTATTTCTTTCTTTTGGTCCTCCTTTTGCAGAAGAACAATATCAGGCATACTGAATGACACGCAGAGACGTGTGTGTACATAAACAATGCCAGGACTCCGAGGTTTTGGCACTGTCAGCATACAGATAATAAGCATTACATAGGGCTGATTTATTATCTGACTCCGCAATAACCTTTTGAAGATATACTGATTGGCAATTTGCATATTAACAGATACATCAACATTGAGGCAGTGTCAGATGTTATGCATGGCTATGTTCCGCTCCAGAGGTGGCTGAATTTCAAACAGTGGCCAAAAGGAAAAACTCATTTGTATCCTTCAGCGTGAAAGATGCCCTATTGAAATATGAATTATTAGCCTCTCTGTTGTTGGTCTTTATTGTACACTATCAGATCACTTCTCCTGCTCCCTCCCCATAGCTTTTGCTCTATCAGATATGGAACCTTTCTCTGACATGTGAAGTTTTTCCTACCACACCTGGATTAGATTATTTAATTCAGTCTCTGGGCTGCGAAGGGCCTTCCCACATGTTCCTTGGCTAGGAATTAGGCTGCTTTCCTCTCAAACAACACATCTGCTCCATAAAAACTTGCAGTTACCTTAGCAAGTTGTGTTTCTGCACAGGGCATGTCCAAGTGCCTCATCCTGGTTGGGCTTTTCTTTTGCCTTGGCAATGTCCTTCCCAGCCTTCCATCCTTCCCAGTCACCCTTCCCCACTTCTTGGGGCGCTGAGCTAAAAGCATCACTTTTCTTCCTTTCTTCCCACATTTAACACTCTTACCCAAAAGTTTCATCCCAGCTACTGTGTGTCAACGATGGGTGATGGTGACATAGCCCTGACCATTGTGCAGGACCTTGCACTTGACCTTGTTGCACTTCATGAGGTTGACACGGGCCCAGCTGATAGCCTTGAGGGTTGGGCCCTGAGATCTGTGAGCGCACCACTCCTGCACTTTGTTATTCTAGAAGGATTTTCAGAGGTTTTTGCAAGTTCCTGTTTCTTTTTCCCCAGCCCTTGGAGAACTGGGATTGGTAAAGAGATGAGCAGAGAAATGATCGCTATTTACAGATGTGTATTACCTACAGAAGTCCCACTAATTGTGAAGATTTGTGTTCAGGGCAAGGTAGTGTGTAATCAGCTACTCATCTGCTCTTCGGTGCCGAACACGGAGAAGTTGTGTCTGCAGAGCTGAAAGCGCTCAGGCAAGACTAAAGAAACTCATTACCAGCCATCACCCTCCACAGTGATGCTGTGGGAAGGGGAAAGAGCTGCGGCAGCCGTGAGCTCTCCTCGTGGACATGGGCAGGCCCCAGCCCCTCCTGCAGCTCCGGTGGCATTGGGTTTGGGGCAATTTCCATGCCCTGAGCCTGGCTTTATCCAGGGATAATGATGCTTATCCACTGCACACAGCCAATCGGATGCTTCATTTATCAGCATTTGTCGGGGGCTTTGAAATCTTGAATAAGTGAGGCTGTTGAAGTGCAGGTGATTAAATGTGGCCAGCCACCAGACTGTGTGGAAAATGAGCTCTGCTGGCACGCATTTGCTGCCACAACTGTCAGAGCGTGTCCTGGCCTTGAGTACCAGGGCAGCCCATGTCTGCTCTGTCCATTTGGGCAGCCCTGTCCACCTGTTTATGTGGAAAGCCCTTCAGAGCACTGCCAATGTTGTATGGAAGGGAAATGATCCTTTGAGGGAAAAGAAGTTATCGTAGCCCTGCACATCTGTGTAGTCGGGGACTTTTCCTGTTCAATACATTCACACACAAATCCTTAGTCTGGTTTTTGTCTCCTTGTTTGAAGTGGATGAGCAGTAGCAGATGATTTTTTTTAATTTTGTTTCCAAAATGTTATCTTCCCTCATGCCATGCAGGCTTTCATGAAGTGCCACCCTGCAGCTGCTGCAACACCACACATACCCAAAATGGGTCTCAGGACTTCCACCCAGCACTTCTCCTTAATTTAGTTATTAAAGACACTTGTGTCACATCATCGGGCTCATTTCCCCAGCCTGGTCCCTCATTATTAGATGAACCTGAGCATCCCATGTATACCCTTTAAGAGCAGAAGGGGTGGAGGGTTAGGGTTTGGCTGAAATATTCTGTTCTTCCTCCTCTAAAGTCTTGCTGCTCAGCAACTGCTTGGGATGGGTCTACATTAGAGCAGATGGGTTATTCAAGGTAAGCTTTGGGGCTGTAATGCTACTCTTCAAAGAAACCAAGCAACTAGTTCTCACACTTTCATAAAACTACTTCTTGACCTGTATTATCCAAGGGGCAAGTTCTGCCAGCAGCAGGCTGGAGAGGCTGTTTTTTTCTTTGGGATGCTTTCTTCAGAGCAATGACTCTTCTCCTAGACTTTTTTCCTGTTCTCCTAAGAGGCTTGTTAAATCCTATTTGGGTGGAAACAGAACTTGTTTCACTTGGGGGATGCTCAGAGCTGTCTGCTAGGCAAGTGCCACCTACCTAGAATGATTTTGGAGGATGCTCCTTAGCAATTGTTTCCCATCAATTCAATGGTAATTGGAATTAAATCACCCAGTTATATTAGTGAGCTAGGAGCTTTGCTGAATAATAATAACAGCAATAAGCTGTTTACCAATTTGAAGTTTACTTCATCCCTCACAAGTGTGCAAGTTTAGAGCTGGTTGCTTTCAGTGGTTACCTGAGGATCGCTTGCCCTGACTCAAGCTTCCAAAACTTGGAGGAGAGGAGAATGCCTGTGCTAGAAGTCCTCCAAAAGGCTGGAGAGGAACAGGTAGCCCAGTGTAAATGTGTCCTGCTGAGAGCTGCAGGACCATGGAGGGAGACTACTTATTTAGCAAAGGTCAAAGAAAAGCAATGTGAGAAAGCGAAGAAATGAGGCCACCTTAACCTGGGTGATGCTCTCCTGGGCAGGGTTGTCTCCTTGCTCTGACTCTGGCCCACTGTCATGTATGCCATATCCACAAAGATCCCAGATCTGAAGCACTCTTTTAGGAAGGGGTGATCTGTGCCTTGCACTGTCCTTGCTCAGCCCTCCCAGCTGCCAGACAGAGGCATTAATACTGCCCAGATGGTGCAGGGGACTGTTTTTCACCATGTTGCAGGATCATACTTGTGTTTTTCCAGCCCATAAGCACTGTGGTCATTCAAAAGTACCTTGATGTTCAACTATTCCACCAAGGTCTTTCTCTGTGTTACAAGTGAGCTGATACCAGGCTTCCTCAAGGAGCTCAGTTACCTTTTCTCTGCTGTTTTCAGTGTTCTGGGGGCAGAAATGTCTGACACAAGGAAATGAACATCTTCCTTCCTATGATGTGTTGCAGGACTTTACAGTAACAAGTGTAGGAATATTATTTGTATGGTACCTTGTAAATCAGAGCCTTGTGAGACCAGCCTACTTCAGAAGTTATCTTGGAAAAATTCATGTTTATCAAACTAATATTTGTGCATTAGGGACTTAGGTTTTCTGAGAGGGTGCCACACCTCTGGCTTTAGTGGCAGAGCAAGGATCTGAGCTATTCCTAAAGCACAAAGTGTTGTTATATGGCAGAAACCCCTGGCTACAAGGAGGTTTAAAAAACAAGAGGAAAAACATGAAGTGGCACAGCAGCAAAAGCCCAGGCGAGCTGAAGATTTCCTTCAACAAAGCCCTGTGTTATGTCTCCGTGGCATTACATGGTCTGCTTCCTCCTGAGGTGTAGTGATGCTCATACCCAGGAGGTGGGGGACCAGTGCCAGGGGAACCTGTGCTTCTGAACAGCAGAACTCCTTTGTTTGGTTCAAATGTTGGATTTTCCAAATAATTCATTGCAGAAGGTAATTAAACAGTTCCTTTCATTTTCCACAATTATTTTATTCCTGGTAAATCTTTTTTTTTTCTGTGCTGTAATTCAGTGTGTGTGAGACAAATGTACCAATTAACTAACTGCTTCTAAATTTACTCAGTGCAACAAAAGGGGGCTTAACCTGGCTGTGGCTGAATTTGGATGACAGGCACTCTGAGAGGTGGGTCAGGGCATGGGGCCAAACAAGGACCTGTCCATGTCCTCCATACCTCTCCAGCTGCTCCTGCATGTGGGGCAGGGCACTGAGCTTGCTGGCATAGATCAAGTGCCTTCTGGACCCCTTTTGTGCATCTTTCCCCTACCTTTTTTTTTTTCCTCCCACAGAAAGGGCATAATACCCAAGCTGATGATCGAATCCCCCATGGTCCAGATGAATTTGGCCTTCGGGTTTCTGTGCTCTGTCCTAGCACATCAGTGCATCTGGTGGCTTGATCCATGGCTAGTTAATGGAGATGGGCCATGGCTTATTCTTCAGTGAGACATCTTTAATGTTACAGCAAGGAAAAACCCTGAGTCATGGGCATGCCCAATCCAGCTGTAGTTGGATGAACTGCCAGGTCAGCTTCATGTTCTGGCAAAGAGTGGGGCAAAATCCAAAGAGCTGCCACTAAAACCAGTGCCTGTGGCCAACATCCCAGATGTCCTGAGTCTTCTGGGATGAACTGCAGAAAGAAAACCAGCTTTTCAGCACATAATTTGCATAATTTTTCATGTCTTTTTTCATGTCCATGCTGCCATGGCTTATGAGGATGTGAGGACACTCTAGGGATGGAAGTAGAAATTTAAGCTGTAATCCTCACAGTTTTAGACACTTTAAAAATATCAGTGCATCACAAGAGTAACTGACCTTTCCGGGTCCCAGATGCTGTTTGTGTGTGAAAGGAAATGTCAGAAAGGATGGGAGAAGTCCTGATCCTGATCTCCATCAAATTCAACAGCAAAACTCTTAGTGACTAGTGGAAATGGGACCTTGAAGGAAGTGTCTCCTGCTGAAATGCTCTGAGGATATTTTGAAAACCAAATTAATAAATAATTGAACCATCTGCATCAGAGACTCTAAGTGGAGTGACACATGGAGGGTGTCTGTAAATGGAACAGCTTCAAATATGCAGGGTAAAATACACATTGGAATGGATTTTTTTCCTTAAAAGACATAATTATCATTTGGGTCTATATTGCAAGCACAATGAGAGGCCCTGTCTGAGAGATGGGTTGTTTTCTCCTAAGAAATGAACACACAAGTGGTAAAATATTGCTCCTGCCCTACAGGGGTTACCATCGTATTAATAAAACAGACTGGGGTCAAGAACAATACCAAGGAAATGGTTTGCCTGAGGCCACACAGCAGATCAGCCTCCCATTTCCTAGAGTCCAGCTGGGCTCCTTGTCTTTTTGACAGAAGACCATGTTGCCTCTAAAGCTGCTATCTGTTGAATCTCCTCCCATCACCACCAGGCACCTTCTGCCCTGGACTGGAGAACTGCATTTTAATTAGCATCCCTCTTGGGGTTGCAGTAGTGGTTGGAGCTGATGTTTCACACCAGCAATCTTTGTAAGAACAGGGCCATACCAAAAGCTCACAGAGGTCACTTCTGAACTACTGAGTTTAATAACTTCCAATCCATTTTTCAGGTGTCTTATTTTTTTTTTTCCACTCCTGCAACATCCTGAGGAAATGAGTTGCCTAGCTGATGCGCTGTGGGATCACTTTCCTGTTATTGTGTTCAGACCAGGTATCTGGACTTCCTTTGGTTTAGATTGGAAGAAGCAGTGAATAATTAATTGTTACGGGTTCTCTTCTTCCACTCTACCCTTAATTTTATATTTATATCCTATAGTCCCCCACTATTATTCCTTTGCCAAGTCAAGGTGATCTAGTTATTTAGCTGCCTTCTATCTAGAAACATAGCAAAGCAAGGTAGTGTATTTTTGGGAAAAAGTTTCATTTGCATAACCTATAGATAGCAACAACATCAGCCTTTGTTTAAAAACCTGAAATAGAGAGGAATATTGAGAAAGGCACTGACAGCAAGAGAAATGCCTCAATTGAGAGATACAGAGGGTGAGATTTATCACATCTAACATGCAATGTTCCTGTGCAGACATCTCTATCTGAGGCTGTCTCCCTGTGCCCCTGATTTAGGGGCTCGCCAAGACAGGTGAGAGAGGGCAGGGTTGGATTGACTTATTTTTGGGGAGATGATTCCTGCCCTGCAGCCCTAATGGAGGCTGAGGCAGATGCAGGCACCTGCTTTTTGATGTGATGATACTCAAATAAGACTCAGGCTGTGAGCTGTAGCAGTAACCTTTAAGTAGCCATGGCCAATGAATTAGTCTTGATGCTCCCTCACTGTGCCATATCTGTTATTAATCCCTGAGTAATCACTGAGAATAGTGCCCTGGGCCAACTCTGCTTGGTTTCTGGACATTTCTGGAAGTATAGAGGATGCAGCATGGTCACCTTCCCTGTGCGCCTGGAAATTTCTCTTCTTGGCTCTCAGTGGCAGAAATTCAATCAAGAAATCTGAAATGTGATATTATTTTTTCCTGCACAATCAGGCCGAGTAGAATATAAATCTTTTATAAATGCAAAAATATTTTTGATCACTTGACATCTCATTTATACTAATTGTCTTTGAATATAATTAGCTTTCATAGGGATAAATTTCCTCATTTTTAGGTTGTAGCTGAAATTACATTATATGTATATAAAGTAGGAGATGGACTTTCTGTTGCAGTTGATTTAAATATATCTTTACTGTGTGAATAAAGCCCTTTATATTTCTGGGAGAACAAAAGAAAATCTGTACCTCACCAGTTCTTTTGGTGCTCTCACATAAGCAAACACGAACAGCAGCATTAGCATGAAGCAGATGCTAAATACATTAAATACATGCCAAAGGCTCAGAAAAAGGGTTCTTACGGTAGCAATGTGAAGTATTTGCAGTGATAAAACTATAAAGGGTTGGAACATCCCCTTAAAAAAGGGAAGGTTCCACCTGGATGTTAGAGGAGATCTTACTGCCAGGGACAGCCAACCCCTAAACCGAGACACCTGCACAAAGAATGGGACAGTACCAGGGCTGTCCCCATGTCTGGACAATTGCAGTGGTGCCAGGAGGTGTAAGTCATGTAGAACCCACAGCATCTTTCTCCAGATCCTGCTCTGGCCAAGGCAAGGCTTGTAGTGGGGACTTTGACCAAGCAAAAGGTTACAGATGATGGGAATCAAACATGTGGGAGAGCATGGAGAATTGGAAAATAGTGGGTGCTGCTGTATGGCTTACATCATTTCACTTTTCTCTGCTTTATCTCATGTGGTTCTGTGCGTCCAGGCGAATTCACAAGAGGAGAGGAACCAAAGGGTTCATTTCCACCAGGATGTAACCAACATATCTCTTGTCTCAGCACCACCAGCTCTCACCACATAGGAGCACAAGCAGAGTCTCCTGTTGTTATCTCTACTCAAATCCTTTGTCTGCAGGGGTGGCGAAGCAACATTTGTGAAAACAATGTCTGTCTTTTGTGCTCTGTGGTCTTACAGCCTTAATCCTGAAGAGTAAGAAGTGGGTTTTCAAGGGCAGCTTTCACCCCAAAACCCCTGACACCATCCCCTGTCACAACCCCAGACTGTGGGTTGGAGCCAGGTGGCCATCACAGCCCCTGTGGGAGATTTGGGATGGGGAATGTGGATGGCAGCTCTGGCTTGCCACTTTGGCTGATTTGCTACTGGTTTAATCCTTGTGCAATGCCTCCTCTCTGCATCCAGGCATTCAGTGAATGTAAAGCAGAAATAAAAGAGTTCCCTCATTAAAATCTGGTCACAGAAATGAAGATAATAGCCCTGGCTTTGCGAGGTGGATACGCGAGCCCCAGTAAGGAGGGGGAGATGATAGATGGAGTTAAATTTACCTCCTGTCCCTCAGACACCCCCTGCTCCTATGTGGCTGCCGTCAGCACGTAACGTCTCCGGTGGTAATGAATGACTGACAGCACCGCACGATTCCCTGCCGGAGAGCTGCCGCTCAGGGGCTCTCGGGAGGAAACGGGAGAGGAACCTGATTGAAAAAATAACCCCCGATGCCGGTCTCTGGTGATTTGCCTCCCCACCCTCATCAGCAGCTCCAGACACTCCAGCTGAGGGCTTGCGGCCTGGAGTCGTGTGGCCGGGAGCACGTTTCTGCCTCCTCTTCCTCAGCGCAGACACCTCCACCCCTGTGGGCTGAGCCCTCTCCTAAATCCTGGCTGAAGGTTCAGCTCCTCTCCTGACAGTGAGCTGGAAAGGAAATTATTTTTTTCCCCATTTTCAGACCCATGAGTTCACCAATGCTGTGAATGTTTGGGGTTTTCAGAAAGGAAGCGAAATCTGAGCGCTCGGGGGATAAATTCCTGGAAAAGTCAGGCAGCGCTTAATTTTCAGACCTGAAGAAAGGGAAGGAACACAATGGAAGCCTAGATCTTAGAAAAACCTGTTCAAAGAGCCTCTAAAAAGGCTTTCAGCCCCAAGATTTAGCACCAGAAAAGGATGGCTTTTAAACACACTGAACTCTAGAGACCTGCCCTGGGTAGTGTTGTTAGGGGAAAAAAAAAAAAAAGGCAGAAAGTTGGAGAAGATCCTAACAGAAGGAGTCCAAAAACTGCTGAGTTCAAGTCTGGAGCCCTCCCCAAAGTGCTGCCCACATTAAATCTGTCTGAGTTGTTCTGGTAAAAGGGGAGAGAGGACGGCTTCCTCCTTTCGTGGCTGGGGACAAGGATGGGGGCGATGCCCAGGCTGATGGATTTGGGGGATACAAGGTGATTGTCCGCAAGGTGCTCCACAGACACCTTCTTGTCTTGCCACAATTGAGCGATGGCTTTCCAACCACCCCCTTTACAGCCCTGTTTCAGCACTAAGACCTCAGCACCCCGTATCTAGGTATGGAGGGTGCAGGCCTCTCAGGAGAGCAGGTGACCCAAATTAGGCCTTTTTCCCCTGATCTCACACATTGCAGTGATGGTTTCCAGCTGGCTCTGAGTGATTCACCAAGATCCCACAGGTGGTTAGGGGATAGTTGGGTTCCTACCCTTGTTTCCTCTTTAAATGAGCACCTTAAATTAATGTTAACACAGGACAATCACCTCCAACATTGACCATTGCAGAGCCAGGATTGAACAAAATCATTTAAAATCAATTTCTCTGCATGCCATAAGCTGGGTCCAGTCTGTGATACCGGCACCAGGATGCAGAGCATGCAAATGAGATCATTAGCCCTCAAATGAAGCAGGGCATGTGCTCTGCTCCAGATGCTGCAGCTGAAACATTGCAGATCTCTGGTCAGCGTTTGGCTTTCCACGTTGGCAAGTGTCCATCAGTCACGATGCCAGACGGACAACTTGACAAGTCCTCTCACAGCAGCATCCCCTGGCCACAAAACAGCTCACAAAAGTGCCTGGCCACTGGTGCCTTCGACTGCAGCATCTCTTCAGTTGACTGGTGAAAAGAGAGCATGCACTTGGTAGAAAATATGGTCTACGGTGACTGTAAATACTGCGTGAATTATTAATTTGCTGTTTACTAACTTCAATATTTTTCTATTCAATTATTCTCTATAGATAGAGCAAGGGACAGCTCTGATTTTTAAATAATACACAGATTATTTTTTGTACATATTTACAGGAAGAATTTTTTCACATCTATTTTCCTTGAATAGATTTTATTTGATTCATGTTTTATTAAAACATCTGCTCAATAATTAAGGAGCGTATATAATTATATGTAAGGCTACCGAATGATTCCTATTGCAGTATTTATTAACACTGTATTGAGAAATATAACCCTTCTTTCTTGAAATGTTTTCCAGAACTGCATCATAGCAGTTTATATGGAGGGTCTACCACTGTTTCCAATTTCCCAATGGGGAAACTGAGTCATGGGAGGAGTAAATGCCCCAGGGGACTAAATATGGACTTGAGAGTCAAACCCAAAACAGAGCGCAGATCTCCAGCCACCAAACACTGCAATCTCCTGTAGTATTTTATGATGTATAATATTGTATCCCATATAATAGCCCCAGCACACACAACTTCTGTGAACAAAGCAATAAGCTCCTTGGCAAAAGGAGTGGGGATAACTGGCATCCTTTCTGCTCTTGCTGGCATTCAGCAGGCAGCTACTGGCCTCAGCATTTGATGAGACAGGTCCCAAATCCTCTGTGCGGATGACATTTAAACACAAATGGCCTTAAAAGTTATCCAGGAAAACTCGCTGACTCAGGAAGAGGAGTGTTTCATGTTTAGGCTGAGCCCAATTGCACATGCTGTGATGTAATTTGTTGTTCATAATACACAACTCATTTAAGGCTCTGCAAGCTGTGAAACACTTAAATCAGTGAGAGGGAGACTTTAAATCCATGCAGAGTGTGACTTTGAATGCTGCGACTGAAACACGGAGGAAAAGCCTTTGCCTGAAGAGGCAGGGAGCTTGCAGTTGCTCTGCTTTGTGCTGGACATCAGAAAACCAGCCTGGAGGAGAACTGGAGCAGGGGCAACACCTGCATGGAGCTAGGAGGGGCCTGATTTTGCAGAGCACCTCGCAGGAAGGTGGGCATGTCACCTCCTGGAGAAGGTTTGCTTTCCTGCTCTCCTTGTCCATAGGGAATTAGCCCCCCAGGGCAGAGCTGCTCACTTATTTTTGCCAAAGCCTGTGTTGTACGAGCCCCGTTCAGTCCTTGCTGTGAATTTCAGAGTAAACACATACAAAAATCTCAGCTAAATTGGATTTGAGGAAACCTGGCCCACCCTCTGGACTTTTATATGAACAATCCACTTCCTAGACCATTTCTGGCTTCATTTCATAGCTTTGTGAATGTGTTTCCAAGGGACTCATGACCCCACTGTCTAAGAAAAGCCCTAATTTGGGACCTACTGAGCCAGAGGTCACAGCTCTGGTGTTCTAGACAATGCAGAGAGCAGCCTGACCCTATTTGCAGCTGGAGACTTGCCGATGCCAAGGCTGATCTTTATGGGGAACCTGATCCTGGCTTCCTTTCTGGAAATATGAGACCTTTATGGACTGTACTCGTGGTACTGAGGGAACGATTTATGGGAAGCTCCACTGCTTTCTGGCAGGCAAACAAAAGGGGCAGATCCTGCCTGAATGTCCTTGCTCCTACAGTGCTGGCATGGGAGCAGGTGTAAATCACTGTGGTGCTGAGGAGCACAGCCTCTTGGTTCAGTCCCAGTTGAGTCTGGACCTGCCACAGCACAACAGAAGCACAAAACCAGTGCCAGGACTGCAAACTAGCAGGTCAAATTCAGCTTTTGTTAATGGTTTAAGCATATCCCGTAGACCTTCCCTTTGAGCATGGAGCCACCTTGGGGAGAATGCAGAGACATGGGTGGGAAGATGTCTGTGGTGTGAGGCACCGAGTCTTAGTCCTGCCCAAGGAGCCCTTTAAGTCCCCTAAGCTGCCATCCCCTCTGGCTGTAGTGCTCCTTGCATGCCATCCCCTCTCATTCCACCAGATTCCTAAAACCACAAACCTAAAGTCACTGTTGTAGAGAAACCAGAAGACCATGCATCTCTGCTGAGCCAAAGCAGTGATCTAAGCACGGTCTCTCACCTCCTCTCTGATCTCCTCCCCTGTCCTCTGCAAACAGCTCAGCAACACCACGGTTATCACTGTTTGGAAGCAACACCGCTGTGGTCCCCGTGACATAATTTGGAGCCTGGTAGTCTGATGATGATGATGATGCTCAGTTGCCCATGCTGCTTTGGATGGGGTTTCCATTCCCCCACCTGGGACCACTCAGCTTTCACCTACGAGCTGATGTTACAGCTCCTCTCCCAAAATGACACCGCTCCCAGGCAGTGCTGCTCATTTCCTCCCCGTCCCACAGGGATGCTGTGGCGTGCTGGATAAGGCGCTCTGACTCGCGGAGCTGCGCCTTCCCCGTCAGTTGGGAGTGCTCATAATTACAACTCCCATTATAGTAAATCATGTACGCAGTCCTGTAAAACATGACACTTTAATCCTATTAATTGCTGCGTTTCCATTTCTTGCCAGTTATTTACCCTTCCCTCCCCCACCCCCAAACACCCAAAGCCAAAAAAAGATTTTATTCGGTCAAACGTGTTGCCAGCCCACACTGCAGTGGCTGGGTTTGGGGCTCCTGATACGCTGTCCCTAGACCTCTAGGGCAGGCACAATTCACACAGGGCTGTAGGGTCCCCCTCTCAGCTGCCAGCAAGGTCTGTGGGATGGGGCTCTGCCAAAACCCAGCCTTGCTGAGCCCAGATGTTTCTCCCTCTTCCCAGCCCTCCTCAGCCTCTGGAGGGTGCATGAATCCTCCGTGCAGGTGACTGGCAGCTTAACTAGAACAAGCCATGAGCTGAGGCCTGTTTCTGGTCCCCGGTGCTCATCTCTGCCTCTTGGTTGATTCCCCACTCCAGCCTCCACAGACTGCCAGGAAGGAGCGTGCTAGCTTGCCAGGAAAATGGGTAACAGCACCCCAAAGTGTCCTACAGCCCCTCTGCATGCGCTTTGCAGGCATAGGTGGGTTGGTCCCTAACTCCTGCCTAAATTTCAGCTTTCCTCCTAGAAGCAAATCCCGGTCCTTCTGTTCACTCCTTTCCCAAACACTGCCCATGTCTGGCCCTGTTTGACCTGTTGTGTCACCTTCTGCTTCCCTCCCACCGCTGGCACCATCAGCTGCAGGAACCTGAGTCCTGCCCTTGAAGCCCTTTAAGTGGAAAATAATGCAGCAGAGGCAAAAGAACTGCACGTAGCAAAGATCGAATGGGTTTTAAACACTAATAATTTTTGTGTCTGGAGCGTATGTGAGGACTCCGAGGGGTTTTGCAAATGATGGCGAGGCTCTGATCGTGTCGTGAGGTGGGAAGACAAAGAAACCGTGTTCAAGCAGAGATGGAAGCAAAGGGAGATGACAGGGAGCCAGGAAGGGGATGGGGGTCCTGCCCACCTTTGTTTTTCCCCTGCTTGCCTACACATGGGAGATCTCACTGGGTTCAGAGCAGAAAAAAAATAAAAAATAAAAAAAATCTCCAGGCCTCAGCCCCACATTGAAGTGAGTTGTTCTCCACCTCATATGAGAAAGGGCAGAGCAGAGCAGACAAAAGCACGACATGGAGATCTTCTCCAGAGCCAGGCGGTAGCACAAGAGCCCCAAGTGCTGCATCTGACTTTTCTAATCCCTCACCAAGTGGACTTTCATCATACTCATAATTAAAGGGATAATAATTTAAACAGATAGTTGAATACCCAAATCTGCTAATCCTTCAGTGGAGCCTCTTTCTTTTAATCTTTCTCTGAGTCACTAATACATAAAAATGTAGCCAGGCACCCACTGCCCTCATTAAAGGAAAACTTTAGCCTCCTCCTCTCGGCCTCGGAGCCATGCCAGGGATGTACGAGGGCACAAAGGCAGCCCTCTGACTGCTCGAGACATGCAGGAACTTTGAAAACCGTGGGACTGGGCTCGCTTCGAGACCGATGTCACAACAGAGGCTGGTTGTCATGGTAACAGGTTATCAGCTATCAAAAACCATCCACAAAAAAATAGACATCACACGGAGTGATGGCAATGGGGGGGCAGCAGGGAAGGGGATGCCAAAGGGTGGCTTTGTCCCTGGTGGAGGGGAAGGCAGAGGGAGACCCATCCTCTGCAACGGGAGGCACTGACGGCTGTTAACCCACCACCCTCCTTTGTTCCCACGTGGCTGCCAGTGGGCAAAGGACCAGGAAGGCTTTTGAGAGCAGAAGAGCGGAGATGCAGGCATGCAGGCTCCTGATTCTGATGGGCAACTCGTACTTCCCCAAGCCTTCTGCTCCACTCAACCAGCAAGCTGTTCCTTTGCTGTCATTTCTGCTGGCACAATGGGCCGTCCTGCTCGTCCCGTGACAAAGCTGGGTTTGCCACCAACATGGGCCTTTTGCACATCTCCTCCAGCCCTTTTGCTAGTGCCCCAGCTACCGTGTTACCACAGCGGGGAGCTCTGCTCTTGGGACCAGCAGCACCAGTGCCAGCACCTGCCAGGCAGGAGCTGATGTACTTGCCGGGCTGGGAGCTGCCACAAGTGGGAAGCCATTGTAAATTCATTGGATACGCCATGTAACAGCATTAATCACAATCAGGATATTAGATAGAGATGCTACTGCTGCTGCACGGGCTCTGCCAGATAACGAATACACCCACACGTCCCAGTGCAGCCACACACAGTCCTCGGGACCCCCAAGCTCCATGTCTGATCCTCCTGGGCTGTGTGCAGGCCTGAGGCAACAGCACTGAGCGATCTTCTGGCCTCTGCTCCTGGCATCCTGCTGAGCTCCTCTCCCCTGCCTTCTCCTGGGCTCATCCTTCCAATTTGCCTCCCCTGCGCCCTGCCTGCATTCCTTGTTTTGTTTTTTTTTTTCCAGTGATGTAATTTGGAGAGCTGCACCGAGAGGCACCCGTCTCATCCACACACGCCTCCATCTCCAGGGCTGGCGAAGGCTTCAGGGAAGGCTGGGAATGAGACCTCGATGTGCTGTTGTGTAGGTGGGCACTGAGCGCTGTGCTGCTCCTCTCGGAGGCATTGAGAGGCCCTCTGTCCCCCCAGACAGGCATGGCAGCCTTA